ATACTATATAACATCTGAAGACTGTGGTAGACTTTACATTAAAATTCTGAATTCTGGTTCTCAAGGATCTCACAATGGCTTTCAGAAGCATAACACAAAACTATTTTCCGAACAACAGGTTATACACTTTATCTGTTATTTATACTTTATCTTTATGCATGTAAACCTAATTCCATGCATGGATTTGAGGGAGCACACACCCCAGTGTTTATAAGCAAGTTAATGACTGGAATGGGAAATGGTACAACTCATCTTCCTTTATCAACTTTAAAATGCATTTTTTTTTTTTTGTCACAGAATGCTAAACTTGTATCCTGTCAATTAGATCAGAACCATTCGGACACACATGGTCACATTCTAATCTTAGTTACGCTGGACTCTACTAACAGAGTCACTGCAGATATACTGATGCAAGTGAAATAAAAATCTAACCAATAAAACGGACCAGCTGCTGAAAGAAAACTTTTTAATCACAGTTAGCAAAAAAAGACATTAATTTTATGCGAGAGAACAATAAATATCCTGTTTCAAAATAACATTTTTCCTGGCTTGATTTCTTACGCTCAAACATATACATTTTTCTAAATATTTTCCAAAACTAAAATGTGAATCCATTTTCTCTCATGGGTAATTTAAATCCCAAACAAGCTGTTCTCATAAACTGGAATGCCAATCAGATCATTTGAAACTCTAATTCAACTCCTGTCTACTAAAACTTTCTTATTTCTTTTAACTAATAGGAATTACACAAAAGGAGTCAATAAACGTAAAGTCATCCATAGTGTTATCCATTATCAGAAAGTTATAAATGACATCAGAAAACTATAGTCCACCAGTCTAGCATTAAAAGGATGCAACATAGATATTTTTGAAGACATGCATACATGTCTTTTATGTGACTATTCTGGGAAGAGTAGTCAAAATGCTACCTAAACTGAGTAAGAAACTTATGAAAAGTTAAAACTCCTTTATTTTAACTGTCTAGCAGCTGGTTTAATAATTTCAAGTATTTCTAAAATAGTTCTCATAAATGGATTTTAACTTGAAAATACATATATTAAATTTAATTATGGAGTCTGTTCTTGTATCTTAAAACATCACCAAAATCCATTTAATAAAATGAAATCCTGTAGTTTAAAGTAGCAAACCAGTATCCATTATTTCACAAGTGGCTCTCTAAGGGGAAACGTATAATATATGTTCACATGGCCTTTTTATTTCCACAGATAAGCAGAAGGTTGAGAAGAATAAAAATGTAGCCTAAGAGTTGTTACTCTGCACTCACCAAAAGACTACTGCACACACAAGTTAATAAAGAGATTTTGAAAGCAATTTAATAAGCGCTCCCAAGGAGTTCCAAATATGCCACACTAACAAACTTTTAGGGGAAAAAATGTTATTTGTTCCTTCTAGTTTATCCCATTAGCTCTGCTGCAGTTACAGTGGGCCAGTCTCAGGCTTCCCATTAAAAAGACCCTATTTTTACTTGGCCGACAAAACTTGAATCCAGTAGCAAATTTATTACAATTTTGAAAAAAAAAAGTTTATGTCCAGTTTTAAGTTACAGCATGAAAGCACAGAAAAAAAACAGGAGTTTACATGTCTGAGCTGCCGTATCTGGTCTTGAATAACTTTTGATTTAAAAATAAAACTTGGCAGACAATAAGCCCATAATGTGGACCAAATGCATTTGGTATGTTGAAAAATAATGCTAAATGAGCAAAAGACTTAATTTTGAAATGTATTCACTCTGCATGCATCATTCCCACTCTACAGACATTTCATTTTACTACATAACCTAAATCCTGGGCTCAGTCAAACCCTAAGATGTGGATATATAAGGTGCCTGCTTCCTCCACAGCCCTGCATTTTGCCCCTTAGATCAGTGGAGGACCCTCCGCAAGGACAGAGATCCTGGGAAATGGGCCAGGGATGAGGCGTAGAAGGTTGCAGACAAGGTCAAGAGCAGTGTGCACCATTACTTCCCAAGCAACTCAGCCAAGAAACTGCAGGGAAGTGAACACTATCTAGAGCCCCTCCATACTATAGTAAAACAGTCACTGCTAAAAGCTGCTCAAGAATCTCTGGTAGAGCCACTCCAGCTAAGGAATCCCAGAACTAGAGGGGAGGCCTAGGCTGATGCTGTGCTAGTCTCTAACATCCTTAAGGAGACTCACAGGACCCAGGTTCAAAGACCGCTTTCCAGCAATGGAAGGAGAACACTGGACCTTACCCCAAAGAGTTTGGAGTGAGCTCTGCAAAAAGGACCTTGCAGGGTGTTTCCCCTTCTGGCCTGTGAGAAGCCGCTCTCTCCAGCAGCACCCCCTTGAGTCCTTTACTTGCTCTGACTGACACTTGTCCAAGCAGTGCAAGTTAGGCAGGGTTTTGTCCACGATGCCTTTTTCTGACAGAACTTGATGAGTGATATCAATCATACTCTCTTTCGCTTTTTATTGCTAAGATTAAAATAAAGAAAACCCTAATCATTAAATCAAGATGTTTAAGAGCTAGGGCTAAGATTTCATCTGCTCCCGCAGGGCTCTTTGCCTAGAGAGTACAACAAAAACTGGGCCCAGCCATGCATGAATTTACACAGCAGTAAGAGGTGCATAAGCTCCAACACATCATGTTGTGCAAGTTGCAAATAGCTACACACTGGGCATTTCTACATGTGCACTTACACCATCTTAAATTTACTTCAATAAGCTACTGTACAGTAAGCAGGAATAGGTTGGCATTTACACATGCAGATGACCTGGGGCTAAATTTAGTCCCAGGTCAAAGCAGCCTGCCGTGTGCCCCTGTGGCCACTGCAGGGAGCTCCAGCCTCCAGCCACATGGCTGCCAGCACTTGGGACTAACTTTAGTCCCAAGTCGAAGCTAGGAGAAGTGGCCAGCCAGGAGCTCTGGGGCTGGGCTCAGGCTGGCTCACTAGTGGCTGGGCAGACCCAGCAGGCAGGCCCCCTGGGTTACTGTGCAGTAACCCATCTACACACATTACTGCACAGTAACTAATTGGGCATAAATTTGATACTTGCATAATTCAGGTATCAAATTTATGCTCAAGTCAGTGTAAGTCACTATATTTACTGTGCAGTACAGGTGTGCAAGGGTAGACTTGTATCCATACTGCATGGTAATTTTGGTTACTGAGTAGTAAATGTGCACATGTAGTTGCTCCCACTGAAGCTGATTTATCTTGAGTACTGAATCTCCTGCATCAGACAGAAGGCAAAGTAGAGGCAAACCTTACAGACTAACTGAATCAAAGATGAATAAGCTTTTGTGAGCCACAGCTCACTTCATCAGGTGTGAAGTAAGACTCACAAAAGCTTATGCATCTTTGATTCAGTTAAACTAGAAGGTGAACCTTTACCTTGCCTTCCAACTGGCTTCAGACAACATGGCTAACTACCCCTCTACTGTGTGGGCCTTGTTACACATTAATTTTATGCAGCTCCTGGAGCTCTTAATTCCTGGATTGTCCACACATTAACACCTGAAACTAGTTTTAAGCACACTTTAAGCGGCTTAAATTTAAGCCACTCCAGGACAGGTTTTTGTTGATCCATGTTACTTGGCTCATGTTCCGTTAGTGTGTGGCCCCTCCCTACACATATGTGATCCAAGTTACAGTTCTCCAGCATCCTACAATGCAGTGTCCCCTCCCCCACTCTCTTGTTTTATGTAGACAAACTTTCCACCACCTGAAATCTACTGCCCAGGGCGTGATTCCAGCACCAAGCCAACTCCCCCTCCCACTTCTGAGGAGTGCAACCCTGTTCACACAGCCTGCAGAGTACATGCCACCTAGTCAAGTTGCAGGACAGAGTCAGGTCCAGGAATGGGGTCCATGAGGGGGAAAACAAGGTAGGAGGCTGGACTGGGTCCCCATGAGGTGGGATTTCCTTCCTTCCTGGTGCAGTAGCTCCCCCTGAAGCACTTTCCCTCACTGCTCCTATCTCCCAGTCACCCCATGAAGCATAACTAGCACCCCCCCACTCCAATCCCAATTTATTAAACAAGAAACCTTTAAATTATTTCCTTTCTTTTTAAATTGTTTATTTTTTTTTACTTTTTTTCCTTCAGTGATTGACTTCATTTCACCACCCTTCCCCCACTTCCATTTCCTTTCCACGTCCCAATTCATTGCCCACCCCCATCCCATTACTCTGCTTCCCAGCTTCATGTCCCTTTCCCCCCTGCAACCCACCTCTCATCCCCTCCCCCACAAACAGAACAGGTATAGAAGCCTATCTTGACTCACAAGCTCCATGGTCACAACCCACAGCTGTAGCTCCTAGTCAGGCCCCTGTTGGCTCGCCCTGTAGTGGCAAATCACAGCTGTGCAGATGGGGGTCAGAAAAGGTTTTTAGCTTTAAGGTCTGACTGCTCCAACCTCAAGCTAGCACTATCACTGATCAACATCTGAGCAGCTCAAAGGGCGACATGTAACAAGGCCCTATAGGAGGTAAGGAAGTGAGGTAAAGGAACCATATGTGCTGGTTGGGGAATATGTAACATGCTAAGAACTCCAGGTGTTTTTCTATTCCCATGCTAGAGCCATGGGAGGTACTTTCACCACTGGTTACATGACTCCAGCTTGAGACACAGAGAAGGGCTCTTGAACACTGTATGTTTTTCATACTACATAATCACCGAATTGGGCACCCATTACAAAAATCCTGGCTTCATACATGCCTTTTTGTGTCTTAGGTATATTGCAAGAGTTCTCTCCGAGGTTGAGATACAATAGTTCCCACTCTCAGCTCTCTACAATAGCCCCTGATCCCACTATCCATTCGGCATACATTATTTCCAGCAGGAATACTTAATTTAGTGGACTATAATAGCTTGTAACTATGCTATTGCAAATGTAACACTAATGGGAGTTATCCAGTCTCATTAAAGTCAGAATGGAGCGCATTGCTCACTTTCAGGAGACGGTAAGCTTTTATAAACAACCATGTTTTAAAATATTACATGAAGAATTCCCTTACCTGTCCGGTAGACAAAATTGCCTTCAGTTTCTGATGATGACGGGGACACCAATTCCTCTTCAAATTCATTGGAACTAAATGAACCAGAATGATTCCTTTGCCTTGTTTTTTCCATCATAGCTGCATTAGTGGCCATGACATGCCTCAATGAGTCATTTAAGTAACGATTCAATAAGCTGCTTTTGTATTTGGGGGGTGACACATAATCCTCACTGGCACTTGTCTCTGGTCTCACTCCTGTTTTTATTACAGAACTCTCAGTTTTAATCACAGTGTGATGAACTGGTTTGTTATATCCCCCTTCATTCATATGGTTTCTTGGAGGATTTTCTCCATCTGAAGAAGAAATGTATAATTATTAAAAAGTATCTTTAGAGCATCTGAAACTATGTACTTTAAATATACATAATCATGACAGAAAGTGAACAAATAATTTACAATTTTTACCCAAACATTTTTTGCTATTCTAAACCATTTGCTAGCTAATTTCAGAAAATAATTGTCAGTCTGTAATTTTAACATGAGCACTACAGTGTATATGTTCGATATTCAAAAGCTGATCTGCGTGAACAGCCACAAAAATCACGTGTTCTTTTTAAATACCCTCATGGGATCAACTTTATTTATTCTTTGCACCCTGCTTCCAAGACAAATACATGAAATGAGTCTGAAACAGCATTCTTATGAATACCCTAAAATATCTGCTCTTTTAACTTCCCTGTAACCAAAATGTTATGGGAAGTAACACAAAAGAAACATGAGCACACCTGAAACAAATTAATTAAAAATGTAAACAAATATATTCAACAATATTTTGTAGCATTTAGTCATTCCAAATATGACTAAAAGAGATAAACCTGTGCACACATTATTGCAAAACTAATGAAGACTTTTCTGTGTTTGATCAATATAATCTCTCAGAAAACAAAAGCAGTGTGCTATTTACAATTTTTCTGAGACTTTAATTTTGCAAGAAAGGGACATATCATGTATCAAGAACATTTTCAAGGAATGTCTTTCCCGGTTCCAATATGCAAGAACACTACAAGCCAAATCCTGCTTATATTACAACATGAAGAGTCTCACTCACGTTAATCAGATCAGTCTTGCTCACAAAAGCTTATGCATCTCCGATTCAGTTAGTCTACAAGGTTAGTTCTGCCTTCTTTGTTAATAAAGTGACAGCCATTTGGCCTTATCAGAATTTGATATCACATGAGTCTAGGAACATTAAGGCCCTCTGACATGAATAAGATTCCTTATGTTTTTGAAGTTATGAGCATTTTTTAGCATTTTGCTGTATTCCAACTTAAATGATTAGCCTGAAGTACCTGAAACACTAAAGCTTTTGTTATCTAACAACAGTATTGCACAGCAAAGACAAATATACCTCACATACAGCTAGATTCTCCGTTAAAGATGTATAACTCCTTTAACTATTTGTGGGATTACATGGTTATAACTGGAAGCAGACATTTACAATGCATTCATGACAAAATAAAATCTGTGACTTATGCAGGATTTATGAAAAATCATCAGATATTTTGAACAGTCTAATTGTTTTTAGTTTCATTTGGAAATGTGGAACAAAACTAATATAAAAACCATAAACCAACCTTCAGAACATGAATCATCACTGCTGACACTAAGTCTTTCAGCATTTCCTTGAACATATTTGTTGTACAATTTTATTCGTAAAGCCCAGCTGAGATCTGGCTGCCGGACAGTATTCTTAAGGCGACGTCTTGCATTAGCAAACCAGTTTGATACCTATATAAAAACAAATGCATTGATTTTATGGACAAAAAAGGCAAAAACAACAACAACTACAGGTTGAGTAACCAAAATACTGTACACAAATTTCACGTAACTCTGACTGAAAGACATTCATATAAACCAGGGCTCAATCCTGTCCTGGTAAAACTCATTATTCAGTGTGGAGATTTTTCTGAGACAGGATGGCAGAATCAGGCCCTCCATCCTTAAGGGTTATCAAGAACTTGCCTTATTAACAATAATCATATTAATTCATAATAATTCTCCATAATACTAATTTTATATTCACATCTCCATTAAAAGATAGTATCCTAAAATTTTATTAAGTATTTTAAAGGATTTTATTAGCTCTTCAGTTAAAGTTAATGGGTACTGTTAGATCTATCAGCTGACAATGTGAGATCTACATAAGCATGAATACAAACCCCTTTTGAATGTTGTAATATTAAGATATAAATCCTGCTCCATGCCACGTTGGTAAATTATAACTAGGGACTACAGGGAGTATCATGTACACAACATACGCATGCTGTGATCCACTGCAGAAATCTACACCTGGCTCTAGACAGTTTTACCTCAAACATTATTTTCCAAGAATAAGGGCATGTAAATACTCCTGTGCTGTGCCTTCTGATGCACACTTCCACCAAAAGTAGGTTCCACGACAGAAATGTGGTGTACCAATATTTCATAGTACTTCATACTTTTACTGTTAAAGTATGTCACGTGCTGTA